GTGTGATGGGAAAATGTCCACAAAGCAGTAAAGCTGTGATCTTAACATTTACTTATATTTAAAAAGATGCCTCTGAAGTCCTGCAGGTTTCTTTCTCTCTCCCCTGAAAGTGACTGCGTGCCTCATGCCCCACACTCATCCCAAAGTCCTTAGAGGTCAGGACAAGTCCAGTTTAGCCAGGAGCAGGTATGTTACCTACCCTTTCTAAGACTTAAGCCAGCAACTCAGCCAAAGAGCAGTGTCACTGCCAGCTTTCCTGAGCACACTGCATAGAGAAGTAGCCTAATGAACCAGGTTGTGGACTTGACTGGAAGGTGAAATTTGCACCCTTTTGAAAAGGATTCCTTCCTCTCTTGTCTCTTTGTGGATCTATGGCAGCTTTTGAAAAATTAAACAATGAGGAAATGCAGAGAAAAACATACTGTTTGGTTTTCTAAGTAAATTGTAGTCCTCATAAAGTGTCCCTGAAAGCCTAACAAAGCACTTGCAGACATGAGTCATGAAACCCTGGAAATTTTTGGCTACAAAAAGTGTTTATAGAGAAAGCTTTTAATAAAGATTTGGAGAGAAGCCCAAGGACACTGAAAAATAAAAAAAAATTACAAAGTAAAACTGCAGAGTGTGGTGTGATCAGGGGAATTATTTTGAAAAAAACTGCAGAAGAACAGGCATTTAAAAACTTAGAAAATTCATATTTCTTCACAGTATTTTGGCAGAAAATGTCTATACTATTATTAAGTTCCTTAGCTTCTGGAACAGGATGGAGCACTGAGTGACAGCGAACACTACAGTGTTGATGGAATAGCATACAAGTGGATGCATGTCAAGAGGAACTGCCTTTGATCTGTTCTTTGCTGTGAAGGATGACAGGGAGTTGTTATCCCAAAAGCACTTTGCACAGGAAATCAGGATGTGGCTGTAACAGATATTAATCCCCCAGGAGAAAGCTAAGGAGTAATTCAAGCACGGTAAATTGCAGTGACTGAACAGCATTCAGCTACAGTAGGTGTAATACTGCAGGTTTTAGTAATACTCGCACTCACCCCTGTGCAAAGGGGTACTAATATCTACTTTATCTCTGACTTAGGGGTCTTAAAGAGTTCTCTTGGGAAAAAAAAAAAAAAAGCTCTCAAGGCTTCTAGAGGTATGTAGCAAACACACAGGCATGACATGGCACCGCTGTCACTTAAGTTTGGAACTTACTTTATGTGCATTAAATACTAAGTAAATATTCTTGTGAACTAAAATCCAGCTAATATTTAAGCTCACCGAAAATGCTTTGTTCTACCTGTAGTCATAATAACTTTATCAACTGAAAAGCATTTTGTTCTGTTAAATGGCCCAAAAAGAGCCCATCAACTTTTGCAGTGTTGCTGTGCCCCTCCATATTGCTCTCCTTACTGAAAAAACAGTACAGAGACCGTATTGCAATCAATACCGAGTGATCCCACAACTTTTGCTTTGCATTGCATCTCTGCACCTTCTAATGACTTTCATATTATCATCAGCATGCTCTCAGGAAGTTTACATGTCAGGGCTAATTAACTAGGATGGTTTGTCTTCCTTTATTAATCCCCTAAGTACTGAAAACCCATTCCCCTTTGAGCAGGAGCAGCTGTGACCAACGTGGCATCAGAGATGCGAAGCCAGCATTTTACTCAGAAGCACTTACTACAACATTTCTGAGAAACTAATTAAAGTAACTGTTGCTGTAATTCCAGTAATAAGGTTAAAATTAAAGGTCTTTACAATTTGACTTCCCAAAACTCCATCCAAACGATTTGTGAATGTGTATGTGATAACCTGTCATGGACAATGTTGCTCTAAAAATTGCTGCCTTCCATCTGCAGAGATACTTTCCAAGTCTGTACTTATGCAATTAGGTTCTACCTAGATGCCAAAAATTTGCTGAAGGACAAAGCCCTTGCCTTTTAATTGTATCAGTATTGCTATTTTTTTTTAAACCAAATCACTTCTTTTGATAGATCTTTATTTTGCTTACTAATGCATGTATCAAGTAAAGTAGCCTATTTTCCATAAGAAGATTATAATTCTGTTGTCCTCATTTCTTAAAGGGGAATAGTATAGGAAAAAAAGAAGACAATTAGTATTTGCATACCAGTTCAACACATATTTTTTGAATTTAAATACATTTGGCTTGTTTATAAAATGACTGATTCAAAACAAGGGTTATCTAAAATACATTCATATTATTGAAAGAGTTTTGGTTGTTGACTTAACCTTTTCTAAACTTGACATTTACTGAAATGTCCATCATGGACTAGAACCAGAGAGCAGTTTTTTGGCTGTAGAAACATCATGTGGATCATGGCTACCATGTTTCTTTACATTAATTAAGGTGTAGGGGTTCACCAGTTCTGCCACTACACACCTGACTCCCCAAGTGCTGGGCTACAGCTGATTTTCTGAATCCTATCTAAATGCTCCAATTAATTTTCTCCAGCTTTGGCCAGTTCCTCCAAAACAGATTTACCTCCTGGGGTAGGAGCACACAGGCTCCTACCTGAGAGCATGAGAGCTATAGCTCAGTCAACTCTACATGAAGTTCATTCCACAAAATTTAAGACTGAGACAAATGGTGCTTTGCTATGAGAATGGAACTGAGCCTTAACTAAGACAATCCTTGATAGAGCTAATTGATATCTTTTAGTTCCATTTGCCTGACACATGTGGTACTCAAGATGCATTTTTAGATATACAAATTCATTGAAATCACAGAATTCTCAAAAAAAAAACCTAAAAAAAAAGGAAGAAAAAAAATTGGTGAAGTACATTTCATTTTTTCCCCACAGGCATTCTAGTTAGCAGAGCCAACAATCTGCTACTATAGTTCACATACATATAGTTCACTGTACTTAGTTACAGTTATGACCAACATAACATAGTGTTCTTATTTAAAAATATACGTTATGTTTGATTTACTAATTGAAATTAGTTTTACCTTGAAATGAGTGAACCATGTGTTTACAACACATCTTCTGCTCCTCTACACAAGCCCTCCTTTAACTCTGAGTGATTACATGATTCTTTTCCCTATCTTCTGCAACAGCAATGAAAGGGGGTACCTCATTCAATATGGGAAATCAGTTTACAGTCTGTCCTAACTTCTGTTGTCTGAGAAAAACTCTATTTGAACAGAGTGACAGAACCAAACAGCCTCTACAAGTTGTATTTATCAAGTAATCTTATTTCCTATTAATTTTACCAATTTATCAGGAATTTAAAAGTTTTCAGTTAAGAATTTTCAGGTAATAAAATGCATCACTTTTGGTAAACTGACATAATTTATCATTATTTGCAGTATTACTGCTGTAGCATCCTTAGCTTTGGTGATAACTTGGTTCATGCTCCCAGGCACCAGACAAGGGTTCATAGACCTGAGCCAGGGGTGCACAGGAGCTCAGCTTATAATCAGATTATTAAAACAAATTCTATGATAATTCAGGAGATGCAGTCTCTCCAGGCACTGCATATTGATTGATTTGGTAACTAAACACTAGATATTGTTCAGGTGGAGAAGGAGATGTAGGAGCTGCTATTTCTACTTTAGACCCTCTGCATCTCCTTGTGCTAAACTGCACAAGTTCTGCTCCACCAGCTTTTTCCTCTTTAAAGGAGTTTGAACTCTAGCAGAAATTTGGGAAAATTACATGAGGGCAAGGACATTACACTGTGTAATGTGTAATGTCAAAAGTAAAATAGTTCCCAGTTCCTCTGTTACTCTCCCAGTAGCCAAGGGGCAACCTCGGAGTTACGGCCACTGTCCCTGAGACATTGACCTAACGATGCTCTTCGAGTACATCACCTCCACCAGGAGTCACTGTCCTGCCTTTTGCATATGTGTGGTCTAAAGATATTTTGCATCTATTTGTGTATGTCTCAGCTCTGTGTGCCATTTATAATAATGCAGAATTGTCGGAAGCATGAGACACAATGATGTAATCTTACACACTAGATTTAAATTCCCAGAAGCAGGAATGCTGACAACACAGGTCAAACTTCCAATCCCTTAATGTGTATCTTGATATTGCATGAGCTTTTAAGGAGGGAAGACGTGGGTTGTAGAACTTGGATGCAGGCTTATTCAAAGAAGCTCTTTCAGGATAAATTTTACAAATAATATGGGATTATATAAACAAAAAAACCCCAGACTATGACACTTCTAATTGCTAGAGAGCTGACAACAAACATCTATTATTCTATGTATCAGTTTTGTGCAATTCAATAAAAGGAGTAGTAGCTATTTTTTGTTACATTTAGTTAAAATATACTATTTGCTCCATGATTTTCAAGGTTGTCAAAGCTAAGTAGTACAGCTATCATCTCCACATCTCCACATATCACAGGCAGGACTGCTACAAGCAGCTATAAAAGCTTCCCAATGCCTCCCTTTATGAGACTAGGCTTTACTAAACTTGCAGCTACCCAGTTTTGGGGTTTGAACAGAATTTCCTATATCAAGTGTCATTTCTGTACCTCTTTGGGGGAAGGTTAATTCAGAACAGCTCAGTCTGTCCATGGATAAGGCTAAGGAAAATTGGGAAGCTCAGTATAATACAGTTGCCTAAAGAAGAAAAAGTTACAGTTGAAAAGGTAGTAATAAGTTTAAATCTTTGGCCAAGAAAAACTAAAATTGAAGTCATTACTACAATTGTGGAGTCAAGAGTGAGATTGGGAAACACTAAAGGTAAATACCTTTAAAAAAATTGAGGCAGAAGACTGAGTGTGTTTTTCACATGAGACTGACACAACAATGATGGTTGGTAACAGCAACGTGGCTTTGGAAACAGTTTAAAAATCTCCCACTGAAAACACAAAGATACAGGCTTCAAAGGAACACAGGTAAATGAATCTGGGGATATTCTCCACCAAGTAAGTCTAGAAATTTCCAGCTAATCAGCAACACAATACTAAATTTATAATGGCAAAAGTCTACGTAGAAATAAAGCAACCAAAAAGAAGCAACCAAAAACACACGCGAGTTTTAATTTATTTTATTTTATTTAGAAGTAAAATAAAACATGACATTTCCATCTAGATACCACTGGCATATGCTGCAGTAAATTCAGACATGGAGAGGTGGGCTTAGCTTTCAGATTCCTCCCAAATTCAGCTCTTTCCTGTTGCACTGGAGCTTTGTGCAAGCTCTGATACACCTGAGGACACAACTGTTTAAGGCAGCCGCTGGAGCTCAAGCTTATCAGCAGATGGTGCTTCAAAGACATCATCTTCAACACTTTCTTCTATGGGCTTCATCTTTGCTGAAGTTCTCAGGTAAGGAGATGTGCGGCCTGGGCCTGTCACAGGTACAAAGAAATTACCAGTTAATTTAACAACACACACCTGCTACATAGACCTGTTTGTGACAAAGTGGACACAATCTGATGATCCCGCCCTAGTTGCTTCATGAGAGGATTTCTAAATGAAGGTTTCTTTCTTATTTGGCCATAGGCACCAGGAAACTCTAGACATGGAACAGCCATGCTGCTAAGATCTAGCAATGCCTCCTGCTAACCACAGACACAGCATTCTCCCCAAGTTCAGGGCAAACCCCAACTGAAGTTCGTGCCCACGGGGTGCCCACTGCTTGTTCCCCAGAGATCATTTTCTCACCCTTATGTTCACTCTCTGACTCATCTCCATTCAACTACAGCTGTGTGAGTGGCTGCCCCAAGTGCAAAGGGTGTGTACATCTGCACACTGGCCTGGCTGCAGGGAAACCTCGGATGGGCACATCATCAAAGCCACAACTGCCTTCAAAGCGTAAAGTCATAGAATGTGCTGAGTTGGAAGGGACTCATCGGGATCAAGTCCAGCTCCTGGTCCTGCATAGGACACCCCGAGAGTCACACCCTATGCCTGAGAGCATAGTCCAGACATTTAAACCCAACACTCTTGAACTCTGCCAGGTGTGGTGCTGTGACCACTTCCCTGGGGAGCCTACCCAACCACCCCCTGGGTGAAGAGCCTAAAAGCTGACCTAAGCCTCCCCTGATACATCTTTGTATGTTTTGCGCAGCATGATAATGTAAAACTTATAAAAGATTTATACCGCCATAAACAACCACAGAGAAAACAAGATTTACAGGCAAAGGCCACATAACTTTCAACTGACAGTAATTTCACTGCAAAAAAACTACCTTTTTAGAAAGGCAGCAACTTGCCTGCCAGAGTAGGACTCACACCACAGCTATCACTGTCAAGATATTAAATGGAATTTTTGTGCAAGTTACCACTGCAAACTACCTCTACTGCAGTTAAATTTTCAGTATGAGGGTCAAACCAGAGAACTCCTTCGAGTCATCAGCCGGACAGTTCTGTTTTCCATTGTTCATTCTGAAATCGAATCTACATGTGGACATGTATTTTTCTCAGTATCCTCTTCTAGACTTAGACCACCACAGTATGAGGTTACAAACAGTAGCTAGTATATTATGACCAAAAGATTATGGAAATCTCTGAAATCCCATTTGAGAAGAATGGGATCAACAAGAACAAGAGATAAAGGCCATGCTAACAGACTGTTTGCATACAAGCTAAAGATTTAAATATTCTTGAAAAAAATACCGATAGCTGTAACACACTCTTATTTTTAAGAAACATTTATCAGATATACAGTAAAGTGCTGTGTTAAGGAAGCCCACTTATGAGAAAAGACTCATTTACACTGTATGTGTTACACACAGAGAGCAATATACAGACACAGGCAACACCAGCAAGTTACGACACTAATGCATTTTTAAATTTCACATTCACAAAGACACTGTTTGGAATTGGCGTTTCAGAACTTCTTATGTTAAAAATGTATTCATATTTTCTTTTGAGATTCAAAAACTACTTAAACTGACACAATACAAGGTTACTCAAGCACATTTTTAGACACTGACATTATTAAACATTTCTTCCCACACAGATGTGTTTTATGGCCTAAGCAAAGGGTAATTGGCTAATGTGCCTCACCCAAAGTCTGTGGGTACATCTGGATATAAAAGTGGTTTTTCTGTGAGATACCCAAAGGTAAAAGATTGCCTGAAAATGCTGAGTTACAATTCCAGCTTCTTCTTTTTTTTTGTAGATCTTTGTTTCAGTGTAGTTTATTGTTATTTTTAAAATGGTTTTCTTCTGTTTAAAGCCACTTGGTTCTCTCCAGAAAACAGAAGTAAGCAGCCATAAGTTTGTACAACAGGATCCAATATAAGGTCTAATTCGCTCAGCCTGTTTGTTTCAAAGACATGCTCTTATTTGCTCCAAATACAAAATTTTGTCTACTGGTGCCATTATCCAGTGTTGGACAGATGTTCAAGTGACTGAGTCAGACCTTCCTTTCACTGCATTTTGTTGCCCTTTCTTGAGGGCCTAACCAAAATACATATTAAAATTCCTGTGAAATCCAATCCTGTTTTTAACCACAAGCAGGGAGCCTATAATTTGATAATACCACTAAAAGCATTACCAAACCAAAACCTTTTTACATTCCTGCTCAGCTTAGAATTTAACAAATAAATGCATACACGAGCAAATATGAAATGTCTAAAACAAGTACCACAGAAAAAGACACTGCATCTCTACTACATATGTCAATGGGTGTCAAGCAATAGAATTACAGAATAGAAACTAATATAAAAATATTATTTAAGGATTGAAACTAGCCTTGTGATCAGGTTAAACTATTTTTGCTTAACTCAAATTTTGGAAAAAGAGATACCTCTATTTCACTTACTAATGAACTACATACAGATGGACCACGGATGTCAAGCACAAGTGTCACATGATAAACAAACCCCACTTTAATACCTTTTAGAGGATGCCTGTTGAGTTAATGTGATGTTATCAACAGAAAACATCATGCTGCAAACGACTCACTCCGTAAGCATTATAGAACTCTTGTTGGTTATTTCCTTAATATAAAAGCAAAAAGTTAGGTGGGTTTCTTGATTAATTAAATTAAAAACATACTTTTGTTAGTAATTGTAGTTTGGGACCTACTAATTAGTAATTTTAACCCTTTTATTACTAAACACTTTGAAATAGGATTAATATTAATTTCTTGAGAAAATGAGTCAAAAGTTTATAATTTATAGCACTGATAAATGCACAGTTTTAAAAGATGGGATTATACAAAAATATAAATGCTCATTTTTTCAAGAATATGGAAATTAGGAGAAGAAAACTTATTTGGATTATAGTAGTCAAAGTTATATTTATGGTGGGAGGTTTTGTCCACACAACAATCACCTAGCAATGACAAAACAGTTTTCCTGCAGAGTCCCTGTACAGTCCCTTCATCCATTTTTTTTATTCTAATTAAAAAAAAAAAAAGAAGAAAAAGTTTGAAAAAGTTTCTCACAAAATCTTTTGAGGCTTTTGGATTGCATTTGTTTGTTCTAAATAAACAAATGTATGCCTGTAGAAGGAGGATCCAGGGAACAGCACTGGAACTGTAAGCCTCAGCATGTGCCTTATAGTAAATCTTAAAAAAAAAAAAAAAAAAAGACCAAAAAATACCTCAGCTGTTGCACTGAGAGCACCCAGCAGAAGAGTTTTGAAAACACAGCAGTCACAAGGCAAATGGCAGATTTTTTTTTCAGTTTTCCTTGTGGTCTGAAAAAAGTGCATACATGGCCACAATCCACACGGAATACAAATCTTTAAGCAGAGCTCACCTTGGCAGCAACCCCGTCATTGGCAATGACAGTACCCAGGAATAACTAACAAGCTATCTTGGCAAAAACAAAGATTGAAGCATTAGGGGTTCAAGGAAATTAACAAACCTTTTACACAGTCAGAAATTTCACAATCAAAATACAAAGAAGAAATAAATAACAATACTTCCCAAGGTGTGTATTGCACTGCTACAGGAGCAGTCCCTCTGCCTCCCCAAAAGTAAGGGAAAGCACTGGACTTGGGAGGCTGCTGCCTCAGCTGGGCTGAGGAATTCCAGAAAATAAAAGACACATAAACCCCTTCTTTTGGGTAAAGCACGCCCTGTATACCAAAAAAAAAGGTACACAAACCAAGGAAAAGTACAACAGAGTAAAGTGTATTTATCAAGCATGTGCTAAGCACAAGTGCATCTTGGAGATTTGTATAATTACAGCTGAACTTGTCATGCATTTCAAGTACTTTCTCCCAAAGCTGAAATACTGGTCTAAGAGTTTTGCTGTTAAGCCTGAAAGAGACAATTCTAACTAAACACACAAACACAGTTTTACAATTTCTGAGTGTGCAAATTCACCCAAAGGCTCTCTGTGCAAAGGAGCGGCTTCAATTTCACGGAACTTTGCTGTGTGTGAAACAGGTGAAAAGCCACTTGAGGGTTTAAAGGCAAAGATCAGAGAACAGACCAACACAGGAGACTTCATGGCAGGAATCTCTGCAGGCTGCCTGATCAAGAAGAGCAAGGAGAAGGAAGCCTTCTTTCAACTGGGTCACGGGCCTTGGTGCTCCTGGGGAGTTTTAACCACCCTGGTATCAGGTGGAAAGGCAACAGGGCTGGGAACAGGCAGTTCAGGAGATTTCTGGAACGCAGCAGGCAATTCCTTCATGCAAGTGATCGATGAGTCAACTAGGGAAGGCGCTCTGCTGGACCTGTCACTGATGAACAAGGAAGAACTCATCAGGAGCTGAAGGCTGCTGGTAATCTTGGCTGCACTGTCCAGCAGCTGGTGGAGTTTAAGATACCGAGTGTGTGCCAGACAAATAGTAGAATTACAACCTTATAGGACAGGGGACTGTGGCTTGCTCAGGGTTTTACTTGGCAGGAACTCATGGGACAAGGCTTGCAAAGGGACCTAAGGACAGATGGTTGATTTTCGAGGACACCTTCCTCAAAACACAAGGACAGTTCATTCCAGTGCACAAAAAGCTGAATAAGTAGGGTGGAAGGCTGGCATAGATGAACAGGAAAGTTCTGACAGACTCAGAACAGACACACACAAAGTGTAAGTGGGGATGAGCTCCTTGGAGGGAACACAGAACCATGGCCCAAGCATGCGGTGATGAAATGAGGGAAGCCAAACCTCAGCTAGACCTGGATCTAGTGAAAGGCAACAAGAAAGGCATCTACAAATAAATCAGCAACAAAAGAAAGACCAGGGTAACTGCGAGGCAAGAGTTCAGTGATGCACAGGACACAGGAACATGAGAAACTCTGAGCTATTCAGTAACTATTTGTTTTGAGTTTTTTCTTTAGGGGTTTGTCCTGAGGTCTATTGGGGCTCTGCATCCAGTGCTAGAGACAGAGGGTGATGCTTGACTGACAGGAAACCTGGACTGAGTCAGGAACACCTCAAGTCCACAGGGTGAACACAAGATTTTGGAACCACATGGGCTGCATCCAAGGGTGCCAAGCATTGGCTGATACAATTGCAAGGCTCCCTCTATCATCTTGGAAAGGTGGCTGCAGTCAGGGGACACAAATGGAAATGCCAAGATCACAGCCATTTTGATGAAGGGGAAGATGAGACATCCAGGCCTAGTAATCTAAATTAATTTCCCAGGAAGACTATGGAGCTTGTCTTCCTGGAAGCAATGTGCAAGCACACCAGGGGGGGGAAGGTGACTGGGAAAGCCATCACGGATGCTGATTACCTCTGACCACCTTCCACCTTTGGTGGTGAGCTGATGGCCTCTGTGTATGAATGGAGTACAGTGGATGTTGTTTACATGGATGGTAGCACAGCCCTCCACAGTCTGCCAGTGGGTCCTTCCAGACAAATGGGAAACAGGCTGGGTAGATGGACTACAGCTTCCGTGGAAAATCTGCTGTTCTGCCAAGTTCACAGGGTGGTGAACAGCAGTACAAAACCCAGCTGTCAGGTGGCTGGTTACTAGCAGTGTTCTCAAGGGCCAAAGCCAAGGCCTGTAATATTCAAGATATGAATGACCTGGTTGATGGGATGGAATGCACTCCTGCCAAATTCACAGACAAGAGCCAGGTAGTGAGGGAAACAGCTGACAGGCCAAAGGGTAGGGCAGTGAGTCTGGACAGGCCATTGGAAAAAGAGAAAAGAGCTGACAAAAACGACAACTTCATGAAAGACAAATCCTTGAACCTGGACATGACACACCTACACAGCATTACAGCCTAGGTCCCAGCTGCTTGGAAAGCAGCTTTGCAGAAACGAACTTGGGCATCCTGGTGGACACAAAATAGAACGAGTCAGCAGAGTGCCCCTGCAGTGAAGGGTGCCATCCATATATTGGGCCACATTAGCAGCATATATTGAGCCATATAAGCAAGAGCATAGTCAGCAGGTCATTGAAAGAGATTAATCCCCTCCATCTGGCAATTGTGAGACAGGATCTGGAGTGCTGCATCAGTTTTGTGCCTCCCTGTACAAGAAAGACATGGACACACTGGAGCGAGAGCAGCGGAGTGCAACCCAGATGGCCAGAGGCTGGAGCAGTGATGGAGAGGCTGCAGGAGCTGGGTGTGTTTAGGAACAGAAGGCTCCCAGGGGATCTGACTCTTGTCTTTGGCTACCTAATGGAAGGCAACATAGAAGAGAGAGCCAGACTCTTCTCAGAGGCATGCACTAAAGAAAGAAGGAAAACAAGCATGAGTTGCAATGCAGGAAATTTTTTCACTGTGAGGGTGGTAAGTCCCTGCAGCAGATTGCCCAGGGAGGCTGGAAAATCCTCCAGCTTGGAAATATTCAAAGCTTGACTGGACATGGCTCTGCTCTAGCTGATGTTGCTTTGGACATCAGGCTGGACCTGGTAATTTCCAGGGGTCTCTTACTACCTCAGGTACCTCTGAATGTCCTTGCCGTGAACGGAGGAGAAAAAGAAAACAACACTGGAATTTTCATCAAACTATATCCCAGATGTCACCCTTGATGTTCTAGTAGGGTGAAGCATTAGTAGGGCTTTTTCCTCCATCTATTTGGGCATGCAGACTACACCAATGTTAAGGAGTAAAACCAGATAAGCCCTCTGAAGGTCTGAAGGTGTTACTGGATGAGAACTGTGAGGAACACAATGGAAAACAGATAATTAAACAGAAAGATGCAAATATTTGAAAATATTTCCTCTTCTTAGCAGAGACTTTAACCATAACAAATAACATATAACATAATAAATAACAATAACAGTGGGTTTTTTCTCATATATTTGAATTATAATCACTAAAAAATAGTATTTCCAAAATCAAAATAAATAATCCTATATGATCCTTTTAAATGCTGTTTTAAATTCCATCCATTAAACTAACAGCCTATGCCAAATGCAAAAATTGAGCACCCTGTGGGGCTTTTTTATTCGAACACTGCTTTCAGAATTCAGGCTAATGTTGATGCTTAGATTCAGATGATCTAAAAACAAATGACAGCAATAGCCTAGAAAGAATAATTTAGAATGTTCTCATAAAGGAATTAAAATAGTAGAAGTAAAAAGGTCAGACATGTTTTTTTCTCTCACTTCATTTGTTCTCTACTACTCCTGTCATACAAAGCACAGCAGAGGAGGGCCTGACAGGATACTGGGAGATTTTCCAGGTGACATCAAAATATTGGTTATATACCACATTCCTCCAGACCCTGCCAATACAAACGATCTCAGGAGGAAAAGTAGGACACCAAGTTGGTGAGGGAAAATGTTTTGTTTGGGTTTTTAGTTTCTACAAGCACCAGTGAGAGACCAAAGGACATACTACTGTGACCAGCACTGTACCTTCAGTTTGGCTCCATTACTATAAACATTCCACATTATGCCTAAACATAAACATTATGCCAAAGATTATTCCTACACATGTTGGGGTCTTTTCCCAGTATGTACATGAGGCATCTGCATCTAAAACACAAAGCCTGATGCACTTAATGACTGCCCTATAGTTAAGACCCTTCATTTAGCTGATACAGCAGCACCCAAAAAACTACACTCTGCTCCCACAGAGGGCAACAGGAGCTCTGCAGTGGTCTCTGATGGTCAACCTGAACCGTGTTCAAAACTGCCACAAACTATTCTGAGCACTCACGAAGAGAGGATGCAGAGGAGGTCCCACGAAGAAACATCTGCAAGCCATCCTCGCTGTCACTGGTGCTGGCCATGCTGTTCCTCATCTGCATCACGGAGAGCTGGGAGCAAAGGCTGGGCTGTCGGTCAATCTTCTTTGAGGCCTAAAAAAGAAAGAAATGATTACTTTAAAAAAAGATCAGGCAAATTAAAATAAAAATGGAAATTACTACTTCCCTTGTAATAGATGCTCCGGGCTCAGCCATAATTATACAAGAAAATTGTTATAGGAGAAGATTCTATGCAGTGTAAATCAATTTAAATGACAATAGAAAATGCCAGTAATATACTGGAATTGCAACACTGACAAGTATGAAACTGCACATTAATTATTCAATCTCAAATTGCTTTTGTACTGAAATTTTCATGTATTTTCTTACAGAAAGCTTGGGGTTTATTATCTGGTAATTCATTATTTAAAAGTGATGCTCTGCAATTAAATGTAGTCTGTATGATGAGGCTGATCCTCCTTGGTAAACAAAACAGCATGCTACATATAGAGGCAATTTATACCTTAACAGAAGCATGTTCATTTTCCTGGCTTTTCATTTCATCGTGTTAGAAAAGTGGTGAATGTCACTCCTTCCCAGCAGATGACCATTTGGCTCTTGATTCTACTGCAGACTAAGTGCATCAGGTGAACATTATCCTCTCCCTGTCAAACGGTCTGAGGAGCTTCCATTTTGCTTTGAGTAGCCTTCCTGAGAAGCCTTTATACTACAACATTTATGTGAAGCCATACATTGTACCTTGTAAGGTATTACTGCAAGTCAGAATGCTATTTTAGGTACACGTGAAAGGTAGCAATCAATGGCAAGACAATAATGGATAAATCCACTTTATGGAATTTTAAAAGTCAGGAACCAGTATTCTATTTCATGCAGAAAGGAATGACTACTTTCCCAATACTAGTGAAAGTCTCCTCAGGTAGGAGAAAATCACAAGTTTTCTTACAAAATAAATTATACTCTAATAATACATTTAATAAAATAGAATATACTTTTTAAAAACAAATATACTTTAAAAATAAATATACTTTTTAAATAAATAAAATATACTTTTCTGTTTTCCAACAAGAATTTATTTGATAGTTTTACCTTCTTACTACCATATTGAATACAAATAATCAATATTCAATACTCTACATACACAAGTCAACCCCACTATTTTCTGATGAGATTGACAACAGTTAAAAGATATCAAAGACACTAATAATATTTCTATTTGAAAGTGAAGCTTGTGAGAGGTAATATGTACATAGAGTGCTGGCAAAGGGAAAATTAAGAATTTATTTAACAGTTCTCTTGCCAAGTTATGTAGGAAGAGCTCATGCAACATAATTTTTATTTTAGGAAGAATAATAAGATACTACAAATTTCCCAAATGCTCACTCAATGTTTACAACATACATTTTCAAAACTTACTATAATAAACCAGCTATAATAATCTTAAATTTATGAGATTTTTGCCACTGAAAACAAAGACTCAGTACAAACTGATGTTAAAGAGAGCAGATGTTAAGTCAAAAGCGGGGCAAAATTTGTTGGATTTTCTAATTCTTCAAATTATGATAAGGAATAAGTAAGGAGACAAAATGAAACTAAAGCAAGATAGTTCATATATCCATGAGTACGCCCAGACCACTTAATGTTTTATATATTTATAAATATATAAATTATATTTTAATTATATTTATTTATATTTTATATGTATGTCATTATTCCTTCCACTAACTACTACATCATAGCAACATAATGTTTGTTTTTTTTGGGTTTTTTTGCATTTGCATCCCTCAAAGACATGTTGAAATTATTCTTCCTAGCAATCAGTGTTACATAATTGTTTGCCCCCAGTAAGAAATTTTTTTAAAGAAAAAAGCTCTGAAGCTTCTTTTTACAAAGACACTCATTTGTTAGTGAAAAAGGATATCCAGGGAGAAGCACCTTTTTAGCTACTGGCCATCATTTCTAATCATTAGGCAGAAATATTTCCACAAGCTGATCAGTTCTGAATCTTATTTACTCATCTTTCTTGTACATTACTGTGCCGACTTTAACAAATGTTTCTTCTGACAGAAATGTTGCACTGACTCACACCTTGGCACTAAAAGGCCACAAGTGTGCATTAAGTAGCTGATGGCAGCAAGTTAAAATAAGGTGCTTTAAGAGTATTCAAAATTGAAATAAAAACACATTTGTACGTGGGAGGAAAATTTCCAAACAAAACATGAAGTTGCTTACCTTGTCATTTAAGGTTGGGTCATTCAATGAATAAAGTTTATTTGTAATATCTTTGCCAATAAGGTACTTAAAGATCTCATAAAGAAATGGCTCAGACTCCAGAAAGTAAGTCAGCCGCTCCCTGGACCAGCACAGGAACTTGCAGTTATCATCGGCAATAATGGTGACCTGGAAAAAATACATGCTCAGAGTTAGCATATTTAAAAATGGTTTAACAAGAGCACACTTGAACATGCTTTAAAATAAGTGAGTACATTTTATTTGTGACTCCAGTTAAAGTAACTCTTAAAGCCATGAAGCTTTTTTGTATCCCTTTATTATGAGTGTGATAATTGCAAATATAAAAATTCTCAGCTATTTATTATCATTATATTTGCATCTGATAGGTGTAGCCACTTTGTTTTACAGAAAACCTGGGGGAGAATAACAGGGAAAATCTCTCATGAGTTCCCAAACCATAAAAGCACTTATGTAAGAGGAAATTTATTTATGAAGTCAGTCCTATAGTGATGACAAGCACTTGCAGTAGGCTTACATGTATCTTGGTTTTATTTTACATCACCGTCACCAAACAGGAACAACTGGTATCGCCCAAAGGTCTCCACCAAAGAGTTTTTAGCAATAAAAAAAAAATAATTCCATTTTCCTCTTGTAACTGTCAGCCCTGGTGATCCCAAGTACAACCTTGTAGCAGTTGAGCCAAGGCTCTGTTTGCTCAGTCATTGACAATCCAGTTATAGGTAGTTACAGGGGATTTTGCCCCTCCTCATGGGAGGATGGACGTGCCAGGTTCATCCCCCTGTGCCAGCAGAGGGCAATGCCACACCAAAACCCACACTGGTCATACCCAGGACCAGGTTTTGCAAGGGGGAGTCAGGCATCTATGAATAAACCAAAATCAGGTGCTCTCTGCTTTTACAAGATAACATTACACCCTGAAAAAAAAAAAAATCCATTAAGTCCTGGAAACGATGGAATACTGTCACATATCCACGGATTTTTAACTCCACAGACTGAGGAAGAATTCCCCAGCACTGCCAGCAGATGGGGTCCTGACGACTGAATCCGTGTGCTCTTGCAAGGCTGCTGGTATTCACACGGCAGTAACAAGCAGAACCCACGAATAAAGGATGCACTCTGCTCCGGATCACAATAACCTCTAAGGCAGGCAGAAGCTGAGGCATGACCCTTTTCCCTTGGGAGGGACCGATGCCTATCCAGCCTGTCCCAGGAGAAAGGGGCTGTGCCAAGGGGCAGCCGGGCTGTGGGAGGCCCCGCTGCTGCCAGGTGAGTGCATCGGGACAAGTCTCTCCCCCTGGCGTAAGCCCAGTGTTTGACTGGAACACATGACATCAGTCACTGATTTTAGAGTCTGCTCTGCCTCCCCTTCTGCCACGCTGTCAGTGTGGATGTGTCAGCCAGACACAGTCCGGTCATTATTACACACACCTAGCTAAAGAGCATCAAGAGGTAGCAAAATAGCCATTTCTATCGGAAAAATACACCCTTACCTAAAAGTATTCCACCTCCCCAAACTATAACAGGATATATTTAATATACCCTTATTGTTCCTGCTAGAGAAATATACCCTTATTGTTCCCCATATGAATATTTTTATTCAAAATACTGAGAAAATTTTCAGCTTATGTTGCTTTAACAAATTGCAAAATGACAGAATTATTCATACACTTTTATAAATACCAATTTCTAATTACTAGTACCAGAACTTCTAGAGTTTAATTATTACAGCAGCTCTTTTTCCCTTTTCTTTTTATTGAACCACTGATGAGACCTGTTCATATCATCTTTTTCCATCAAAACTGCCTCTTAAATTTTTTTGTCCTGAACAATCTCTTAACACAAATAAACTTGGAAACAGTAAAAAATAACAAAATAGCAAAAGCCAGACTGCTCAATACACAACATTATAACAGTGTTTTGCAGCATTTAAAAGTTCTTCTTGATAGGGTCCATCTTCAAAGAGTTGTAGTAGAAGGATAGCACAATTATGCAAGTCAAACAGTTCACTGTTGATCAAATTTATCAAATCTATTTTTTTAATTGTCTCACCAGCTCATATCCAGTGACATTTAAAACAAGATGTACCTGGAATTTCTCACCCCGGTTCATCTGCGTTGATCGAAATTCAGGAGAATCTATAAAGGCACAGGGGTAAATATTATGCAGAAAATGCCCTCGATAAGACACCTTCATTCTGGAAATAAAAAATGTATGAAACAACATTTTAAAATCATGGAGGCTGATTAATTTAATCAAAAATTGGGTAGGACTACTGACAACAGTAATGCAGTAGGTAACAGGAATAAATACGTTCATCTTCTGGAATATCACTCCCAGAGCTACCCTGTTTTCTGCCTAACTGATTCCAAGCCGAACAGGCTGCCAGACAAATAGAGAATTGATGAACATGGCATGTATCCACAAAACATTGTTATTCAATATGAGAAAGGTCATGTTACACAGCCAGACCGGAATCAGGCTTCCCTTAGGTAAGTAGCTTTGTGGTAATGAGTAAGAAAAGCAATGGAGCCTGACATTGCTGCTGCTGTCAACAGAAATTGGTTAAAATATTGGCCAGAATTTAGCATGAGTTTCAAGATTACAGCTTGGCCATGGGCATATATTTCACCCTTTCTCACCTGGATTCAGTCTGCCTCTGGGCAGTGCACCTGCCCTTCTCTACTTGCACGTACAAGTGCAATGAATCAATTCCAAAGGCCTGCTGTTTTAAATCCTACTGGAGACATACTTCTTCTTCCCTCATGCACTGTATTTTTTTAACCTTAAAACCTGAGAATGGACAACTACGATGTCTAAGACTCAAACAAAACTCTTGCTCATTTTGCAAGACACTGCCTTTGGTACTACACAAATATAATTCCCACTAAAATCCATGCAGCTGCACACGTAAGTGGATACACACTATGCTCGCAGTAAGAGATATCACTGTCACCTGAAAATGGTGTCAAAAAATAGTCTGTAAGTATAGAACCATTTGACTACAGACCATAGCATACTACAAACAATTGCAGCCTCAATAATTTTCTAATTTATTCAGCCATGACACAAAGCATACGACTGTCCCCAAACTTTTATAGAACCTACTTCCCCTTCAGCAGGATGCTTAGCCTATCATCAACTGATGTTTTATCTTCTGCTGCATAGGCTTGACCTGTCTTCAAAGTCTGAATGTTGCAGAATTGTCCAGTTAGTCTTTGGAAGAGCTCTGGAGGCACATGGAGAGGTTCAAACATTCTCTTGTAGAGGCTGCTAAGCTCCTTCTCTATCTTGATCTAGATTGGAAAAACAAGAGAGATCAATAAACAGATGCATTAGTTAAAAATGGGTAAGACTGCACACATGCTTTAGCTTGAGGGACATCTTTGGCTTCATTATGCTCAAGCAAGGAAAGAAGTGGTAAATGTGTGATGCCTATCCACAAACACTGCCTATGATAGTGTGACCAAAACCTTACCTAAAATTAGCCAGGATGGCACGCTGGTGCTTTAGAATGCTGTTCCATCCAAGTGCCACATTAAATCACACACAAGGAGCCCTCTGAGATGTCTGTTGGTGCAATAGTGACTAGGAAGGACTTGGGCAAGAATTATACAGAGAAAAAAAATGAGGCTGTCTTTCACACTGCATGCACGCATGACTACGGCTATCCCTCAGGCTCTCCTGGGAGCCCCTCTCATCCCTGAGCTTCTTGGCTTACTTGCAGTAGAAAAGCAAGTCCTGAAAAACAAACCAATTATATTGAAAGCACATGTGATGAGGGAGGAAAAAAAAAACCCATAAACATTGCCAGCTGAACATCCCACATCTAAGAGCCCACCCAAACTCAGGCAGCAGCAATGAGGGAAAGGATGTTGGCTGAAATCCTATGCCTGGAAGTCTTCCCTGAATGAAGAAAGCAGGGGATGAGACAATATCACAGCCTTCTTGAAAGCAGAGACAGCCTGAATAATGCCTGCATATTTGCCACGAGGAAGACAAATTAGAACAATAAGCATCGGATAATGAAAAAAAAGAAAATATACATAGAAGAGAGAAAAAGGAAAAACAACCAAGAAAGAATGACAGAAAACAAGAGAAAGATGCAAGTTTCTGACTCATGTTCAAGTCTTCCCTCAGGACCTGCAGGTCCTTTTCTACAAAGCTGTTTTCCAGCTGGTCAGTCCCTGGCATGTGTTGATGCACGTTTATTCCTCCCTGGTGCAGTACTCTACACTTTCTGTTGAACTCCGTGAGATTCCTGTTGGTCCATTTCTCTCAGCCTGCTGAGGCCCCTCCAGTGGCTTTCCCAACCTATCAGCCACTCCTCAGTTTTGTGTCATCAGGGTTCACATATACCCCACCACCCAGCCCATGAATGAAGATGTCAAACAGCACTGGGACCAGCACTGGCCCTGAGGTTACACAGCACACACTAACATATGTGTAGTACCCAGCTCCAGCTGGACTTCTTACCTCTGATTACCACACTGACATTCAGTCAGATTTCAATTTTCAATTTCAATTTCAATTTAATTTCAATTCATTTTCAATTTCATTTCAATCCATCCAGGCCACACTTCAACAGATTTTCTATCAGGATTTTATACAAAACAGTGCTGAAAACCCTACCGAAATTAAGACTGAGGATACTCACCATTCTTAGCTATCTGGCCAGTCATTTCATCATAGAAGGTTATCATAGAATGGCTTGGGTCAGAAGGGGCCTTAAAGATCACCCAGTTCCACGCCCTCTGCCATGGGCAGGGACATCTTCCACAAGACCAGGTAGCATCAGAACTTCAACCTGACCTTGAACACTTCTAGGGATTGTGCATTTACAGCTTCTCTGGGCAAGCTGTTCCAGTGCCTCACCCCCCCTCACAGTAAATAATTCCTTCCTAATATCTAATCTAAACCTACTCTCAGTTTGAAACCATTATCCTTTCACTACATGCCCTTGTAAAATGTCCCTCTACATCCTTCTTGTAGCTTCCCTTCCAGTACTGGAAGGCCACAATCTGGCCACCCCAAAGCCTTCTCTTTTCCAGGCTGAACAACCCTAATTCCCCCAGACTTTCCTCATAGAACACTTCTGTCTCTGTGCTCAGGACCTCAGAGCACTGCAGCTGGGATCTCATCAGAGCAGTCACTTCCCTGACCCTGCTGGCCACGCTGCTTTTGATGCGGCTCAGGACACAACTGGGTTTCTGTGGCTGAGAGTGCACATTGCCAGGTCAAATCCAGCCTCTCATCCACACCCAAGTCCTTCTCTGCAGGGCTGCTCTCAATCTGTCCATCCCTCAGCCTGTGTTGATACTGGGGGTAGCCCCAAACAGGTGCAGCACCTTGCACTTGGTCATCTTGCATTTAATGAAATTTCCATTGGCCCACTTCTCAAGCTTCTCTGGAAGGTATCCCATCCTTCAGGTGTGTCAAACAACTCGGTTTGGTGTCATCTGTGGATTTGTTGAGGGTGCACTCAAGCCCTTTGTCTATGTCAGTAATGAAGGCAGTAAATAGCACTGGTCTCAGTACAGACCCAAATGGGACATCACTTGTCACTGATGTCCATCAGAACTCTGAACCTTTGACCATTATCCTCTAGAGGTGACCATTCAATCAGTTTCTTATCCATCTGTTATCAGGCTGGTTAAGCATGGCTTCCCCTTGGTAAATCCTTGCTGACCACTCCTGATTACCTTCTTGTGCTTCATGTGCACAGAAATGTTTTCCAGGACTCTCTATTCCTTCTTTTCAGAGATCAAGTTGAGGCTGACCAGGCTGCAGTCCCTTGTCCCTTCTTGCCCTTTTTGAGGAAAGGAGTGGCATTTGCTTTTTTCTCTGTTCCTCACTCATTTCTCTCAGTCACCACCATTTTTCCAAGACTATCGGGAATGGCCTTGCAATGACACGAGCTCCTGTGGCTGTGTGACATCAGCGCTCACGGACTTTCTATGTCCAGTGCATCACCTGACCTAAAGTTACACTGGTTTTACACTGAATCAATTACTAGTTAAATATTCCACAAGCAACTACACTCCTATGAAATTCAGGTTTTGAATTTCCTGTATGTTCCTTATGCCACAATCTTTAGTCCCTCAGAGGACATCTACACAGACAAAACAAGGATTAAAAACAAACATGCAAGAGAAATTGTATTATGTTAAGGATTGTCCTGAACATATTTTTGTTGTTCCATATACCCACAAATTGTTTAAAATATGTTCCATATACCCACAAAGCTAGATGACTGTTTTACCATCAGGTTCTCCAGGAACTCATTCATTTTTAACAGCTGTACCAATTTAATTTGCACTTTCTATGACACTTTCATGACCACTGCAACTTAAAGAAATACATTTCCATCTGAAAAAGGAATTTACGTAGCTCCTTAGACTCCTGCACCCAAAACCAGGCACACAGACATGAGGGCAAATTTTGGCTCTGGAGTGTTAATCCAATCCCTTAACTAGCACATGGTTCATGTTTCATGATCTTCCTCTAGTGTGTAATACTTTGAGGGGAAAGCAGGTGTAGCCACTTTCTTAAAGACCGATCAGATTGCAGGCTGTAGCTGAGCTTTAGATGGGCTCCCTTATAACAGACCATTCCCCCTTCCCAAGCACAGCTGACTGCTCCTCCAGTCATGCTTGTGGGTCATATTCCAAACAAGCCATATGGGTAGGTGTAATGTTTTCTTCAGCAGGGGTTGAAATATTCTGGGATGCTGCCAGAACTCCGAGTCAGACTGATTAGAGTCAGCTTCCACTCCAACTAAAAAAGCCAAATTTATAAAGCTCCAAGGAATCAAAACCACTGAAATAATCTTCTGGTCAGAAAAGAAACTCACTGTGATTTTGGATGCTCCATTTAATAAAATAAATATTTAACAACCGAACATATAAATTATTCATTTTGTAATATGACTAACTTGTAATTATTCTGCCATTCCTTTCTTTCCTTGGAAAGATCTTTTGTGAGAATTACCAAAACTGATTGAGATGGGCAATACAATAGCTGCAGAGAGAAAATCTCATTCAAAAATTAGTTCCTAAGAGTTTTAATTTTTTTCCCCCTACTCTTTGTCCTCCTGTAGGAAAAACACTTAAAACAGCCTTGGGGTTTATAATAAACATGTCAGATGGCTAAAAAGACTTCTGTGACTATCAGGCATCACTTCAAGTACACTTGTTGATTATAGTTTGCAGCCAAGATTCATATATTTTTAAATAATTACTGAAAATATTATGTATTACAGCAATTAAAAGAACATAATCTTTTCCACGCAATGTTCACAAATACTGTAATTTCTCAAGGGAAAGAAGCCTATTGAAATTAAGCCTCAAAATGCAAAGAAACAGCACTACCTGGCTAGTCTATCAGATCTAATTTTTGGCCAAGATTTTAAGTTGCTCAGGTCACATAGCACAGCTGATGGTAATCTTTGGATGAATCTGTGTTCCATATTGGAGGAACACTGCTGTAGGTAGAGCCTCTTCCTTTTTTAACACATGTACTCGATTTATCAACTTGTTGTAGACAGATGCAATTTAACCTTTAGCCTCCTTTTATATGCTGTGGTTGCCTGCCAGAGTGTGAGCAGTGCAGTTTATGGGAGTGCCAAGCACCTCACTTCTGCTGTGGCTACTCTGACACTGGGCAAAGGCTACAGAAAGACAAAGCAAAGTTAAAGGCAGGTGCTCCAGGTCTCCCCCTCTTAGATGCAATTTTTTACCAATTTTGGTGACTGAGTTCATCAGTCAAGTTTCATATTCTCACAAAATTCCTTCTTTTTGTATCCACCCACAGAGTACTGCAATCACTGCGATCACTTAACCTAACTCCTACAAATAATTCTGCTAACAAATTTATTAGAGGATTTAGTGAAAACAGCTGCCTCTTCAACAGGATGAAATCTATACTGTAATGCACAAAGTACCCCAATCTATGCCAACACAGCTTTTAGTAGAGGACTGTAATTACAAAAGAATGTATTTCCTTCTTCATTCAGTATTGATTTACACATTACAGGGTGATTTTTTTGTTTGGTTGTTTTTTTTCATTCAAGCTCAAACCAGCACAACATCCTCCCAGGATGCTTTTTCACTCACCTCTTTAGATTTTTGGAAAGGGTTGGACAGGTACAAACTCAAGGACCATTACCTATGTTAAAGGATGCCACTTTCAAAATACAGGCAAGATTAAAGGCTTGGTTTCCCAGGGAAATGGGTTTCTGTAAGCTGAGCACTCCTGCCTTTTGCAATAATTTCTGACTTAGGTGGCCATTTCCTGTCCCATCTGACAGAAGATTAGAAGCCTTAAGTTCTATTAAAAAGGCTTAATTGGGGGGGTTGAAGGGAAGCAAATGCTAATTTGTTTGAGGGGAAAGACTGCAAATAAATTAGTCCTATATTAGAAACCAGAGTACATGCATGGGATATTTAACTGTGGACATCTTCAGAGTAGGTAGAGTCTGGTCTCACTGGCTTCTCCCTTACCTATCTCATCACAACTGCTGTTTTGTGTGTGTGCTGGAAGCATGGCCATGGTCACCTAGCAGAAATACAATGCAGTTTCATCATGTGCTGCATCTCAGTGGTGACATAAATCAATTGAACAGGCTGAAAAAAAAAGCATTAGCAATACTAACTAAAGAGGAAGTTACCCTGTAAGATGACTCTTCAAGAGCAATTTGAACTAGAAATATTTACTACACATCTAATTGTCTAGTAACAGATCAGCCTAGTAAGTTTTAGCTACTTCCTAGGCAAGACAGAAATCAAGCTTCATGCTGCCTTGCCAGCTAATTTCCTAGCTGCTTTCTTGCACAGGCAGTATTGAATTGTTTGTTTTTTTTTTTAATTGTTAGGTTTTGTTTTCTCTTATTTTTTTTTTTTGGTACAAGTTGTTGCACACTTCCAGAGTGTGATTTTGGGCCAAACACAGAAGTATTCTGCTGAAAATGTGTACTAATCCACTGGTTTGCCCAGCAAACATGGGCAAAACTTCCTTTTCTTGCATCTTACTAGAGTGCTTGTAAAATTCAGCTGTTATACATACCGGTCTTCTTTTATACACTAGGTATATGAAATGCAAAAGGTTGACAACCAAAAACACAGAATTCCAGATCATTATGTCCAAGGCACAACGATAGAGTGTAGCCCAAATGATGAATAGTGCACATCCTGTAAAAATTAAAAAAAAAAAAGTGAAGAAGTTAAATTTCACCAAATAATAAACATTCCCAAAAAAACATCAAGAATATGTCCACTGAGTATAATTATGCTGAAAAGCAATATATTCAGGTAAGCTCTCTGGCTGAAGACATGCAACAATAGCTAATCACTGCAATGCTGCAAACAGGCACTGAGGGCAGGCTGACAGACTGCAGCCCTATTACATGGGACTGCAATACTGAAGTCACAGTAATTCAGATCAGGATGGGGCAAGCACAAAGGTGCAGCCCACGATGATTTGTTACTGAAATGAAGTAGAAAAGAGATGGGAGAAAATTAGATGGCTCACAAAAATTTGTGTTGCACTAATTAGACAAAAAAAGGCCTAGAAATTAACGTTCACATCTAATTAGCTAGGAAGAGTTGCATAAAAACTTCCCAAAGTCATATGCAAATAGTTTTGAAAATTAAAAGAAACTATTATTGCTGATGTGACAAGGTCACATAAGGAACCTGAATTCTCCTGTGTAACATCAAAGACAAAATTTCCAAATGCTTACTCTTTTTTTATTGCCTTGCTTTGAATGATGACTCTTGCTTTAAAATACAAGGCATCGTGTATGAATAGGGATTCCATTTTCAGCCTACAAAGATAATATTTATCAAATGATGGATTATGTATTAGTGAGTCTCTCCCAGATAACTGTGAGCCTACCATCCAACAGAGATGGCTGGAGAGGTCACAGTTATATTTTCGCTTAAGCTTCCTGCAAAGACAAAAAGGAGACAGTGCTAAATGAGTGTTCTTACCCCCTTTCTCCCTGAAGATGACCTTGACTTAATGAACTCGGTACTATCTAGTCTGTCTGGGTGTTAACTGATGAGGCAGCACTTACATATGGATTAGAAAAATCAAAATATAGTGACTCTTGATCTGACTAATAGTTAGACTGCAAGGCACAGGAGGATATGAAGTCTGGATGTATTGAAGAGCAGCAATATTGCAGAGCAGCACAGAGGTAGGACAGGGTCAAGGCAAAGGGAGCAGGTCCCTAGGAACCAGGCCTCATACTCATTCTGCCCATTGAGTAAATCTGCTCCCTGCTGCCACCCCAGCTTGCAAAACTCTGATTCCCTCTCTGCTCATACAAGACCTACAGATCAAAACGGCAGGCCCAGCAAGTGCAGAGCTCCTTTTGCTTTTAAAGCCAAGATAAAAAGTCTTGCAATGCTCAGACCCTTGGTTACCAGTGCAGTGCGTTTTAAGAAGTTACCCTATCACAGCTATAAAATAGAAAATGCAAGAGCATTGTAAATTCAAATTCTACCATAAAATTGTCCCACACTATAACGCCAATAAGCACTCACTTAAAAATACTTGAGCATGCTCTTGTTGGATTGGATTTATCCCTCTTATGCTGCAATGAGTCACTATTCCATCTTTGATCACAAGGATCTTGTCCCACACAAGGTACAGAGGCTTTGAAATAGTTGTGAGACTGCACTGTTACAAATCAAACCACATCGCTCAGTCTCAAGCATGCCAAATTTAGGTTTTCCTCTCAAGTCAGATTCCGGTGTCACAAGATTCCTACCGTGGTAGAAGAAACACAAATGATATCAGAACACAGAATGCACTCCCCATCGAAAGGCTGCACTTCCAAATCAGCAATGAAAATAATGCTGGTGACCCACAATGCCACAGGTTTGAACTCACATTAAAAGAATACATGGGCTCACAGCAAGCTCCTCAAGGAATAGCTCACCCACCTCAGACACACTGAGCCAGGGCACCTGCCAATACACAGTGCCAGTACTTAAAAAGTAAAGGTAAAAAAGAAGTCTAAAATAAAGGTCTTAATGATCAGGCATAACTGATTTGAAATAAGTGGATTTTAAACATCCAGTTACATCTGACATAAATGATGTCCACTTGTCTTCAAGCTGACATCTTCACAGGTTTGAAATTGCAAATTACAGTTCTAGGAAATTTTAAGAGCCAAGGGTTATATAATCTTTCTAGAAAAGGTATATCAAGGTCAAAACAGATCCAGTCTTAGACCAAAACCACCTTCATCAGAGCAAAATGGCCATTAATAGAGGCAGTAATTTCACCATAAGCTGCACAGACCAGCTCCATAATGGTCAAACCCAGCCACTTGTGTCACATTCCTGTCTCCAGAATAATTCTCCTACCTATGGTGAGCAGGCCTCGCAGAAGAATCATATGAAGATTTAAAGTAGTTGGAATAACCAGTCCAACTGCAAAGCAAATATTTGCCACGTGGAAAACAAGATGATGAATCTCTTTCCAGTTTTCACATGCAGTCTCATTGAGAGGATCAAGGGTGGAATTTTTTAAGTCTGGAACAAAACTTAGTGGAGTAACGGTGAGTGGGCTCATTGCTGTAGTATTCATCTTGGAGACTCCTGCAAGGAGAGGAAAAAAATTCACTGTGCATTAAACTGAAACATAGTAGACATACATATGGATTTTTGCAGTGTTTTCTCTCTTCCCAAGATGTATTTTCCATTATCATTCATGAAAAAAAAAAAAAGCTTTAAAAGGGTAAGCTAGGTCTATAGCTCAGTAGTGCTTTGCTATCTTTTTCACCTAAATCACAGCTACCAAAACAGAGAGGCTACTAAGTCTGCTGCCAGTCTTTTAGGGAAATCACTTGGTCTGCACAGTTTGAACAAGCTTGCAAGACCCTTGTCTGTGTGTGGGACTATTGGAGAAACTGAGATAGCTAAAGACTATTTCTAATCTAAATATACATAGGGTGTTTTTGTTGTTGTAATAATAAATATAGCACATATACCTTTTGCCTCAATTAAATGAAAAAAGTATCTGTGGGCAAATCCCAATACAGAACAAAAATTTCTATTAAAAACAAACTACAGGGAGAAACTGGAAGATTTCAAGACACTGTCTTTAGAATATTAAAAGCTGGTGTCACTGGGTAACTGGAGTCAATGTTACAAGCTCTACAGAACGTTTCTGAACCCAGAGCAAGTCTCAGCTGAAGGAACACAACTGCTCCTAGAGATGTCTGCGGTCAAACGCAGGAGAACTCTGCTCCCAGCAAGGCATGTATGGTCTCTCACTGCCACAGCAGTAGAAATTATATGGAGGTGGGCCCGAGTCTCATTAATGAACTATATGCACTTCATCACTGAGCCAACAAGCTCCATAAAATACAACGCAGCGGAATTTGCATTTGATTAAATTCTGTAGAGACCGGGCACGTCCCTGATGTGATCACTGACTGCCATGTAATTCATCTGCTCAGCAGACAATTTTGGGTCACAGTTAATACACTCTCTTTCCTGCAGACTTGATGTACTCTGAAGCATCTCTGTTAATTGAGTGTTTCTTGGCCTGTGAAATAAATTTGAGTTGCTTCATCCCTTTTATTGTTTTCTTGCGATCGACCTGTGTACAGGGCATATGCAAGCTGGGCAGTTTTCAAAATAATTCAGTGTTTCAGACCCCTTCTGAAAGCAGAGGGAAGAATGAAACCCTCAACCCTCTCTTACGGTTCATCTCCTATGCCCAGAGCCTGTCACAGCTAAGGGATGCTACAGAATGTGTAAAGGCATCCTGCAGGATCAAACACTAGCACAAATGTGGCGTATCTATATCTGGTTTGAAATTATTTTCAAGGAAAAAAACCCAAAAATAATCCTAAATATCTAATCCAAAATACACAATTCACTTATTTCTTAAGACATCACTTTCCTCTTTTCATTCCTACATTAGTTATTCACAAAGATTAATTAAAATGTGGGGGCTTGTCATAGCCCCTAGTGTTAGCAAACACCAGCCCTATCCAAATACACTTCTACCTTCGTTCAGCTCTTTCACACGAGTTCATTAAGAGAGTCATTAGAGCAGTTTCACTGTCCTGACAAAGCCTCTCACAGTGAGCCAAAGCCTGAGCCCATGAGAGGCTGCAGGACTGGCATTTTAACGGGCTCATAAACAGGAGGGAATTGCTAACTGGATAACTATGTCTGTGCTCATCTTACACACAGCTCGTCTGGGGCTCCTGTTGTTTCCAAACAATACAAACTCCTTACACTAGAACAGCAGGATCTCTAGATCTTAAAAAAAATAATTGGGTGAGTTTCTACCTATATTCAGCCTTTTACTGCCCAGTCACGTGCCAGCAAAGGCACCACTTAAAATGCCAACAGAACAAGTAGAAACAACGAAACTCACACGCAGATACAGAACCGGGCATAAGTCCTTCAACTCAACATCAAAAGAGGCTGCAAAAAGTAGTTTCAGTTGAATCTGATCACAGATCAAAGCAGCCTTCCAGATGCTTGATAATTTTTATTAGCAAAATTCTGTATTGCTCCACTGTGGGAATAGAGGCTACCTTACTCTTTCGTCTCAGCTCTAAAGCATCACACATAAGAAGACTGGAAACCCAAAGAACCAAATTAAATATACAGAACCTGACAATCTCATTCTCCTTGCAGCACAGCCAAAACACTGCTCCCCTTGCTCTTCCAGACACTGATGCAACAAATCACCAGCCATAAGCTAAAATAATGGAAGGAGTTTCTGCAAGTGTTGATCAAGCAATTTAAAGCATCCACAGTTGTAAGAGGACGTTTAACACTTTTGAAGGTCAGGCTTTCCTACTAGATTGCCTCAATTAGAATCCCGGGAGCCTAAATCTGCCCACCTCCAGTTTTTTATAAACTTTGTCTTTACTACCTCAAAGTCTTTATATGAATACCTTTGAACTTCACTTACTACTTACAAACAATAATTACAGCTCCCCTGACATACTGGAAACAGCAGAAATGAGAACTTCTCCATCATGGTGGTATTAAAAAGCTGACAGAAATAGATTGATGCTATCTGCAAAATGACACAAGGACAGACTTGGATACGGGCTCTGAATTTCAATTATGGAGACTGCTTTGGGGATCAGGAGAAAAGGCACACAGGCAGAGCTACAAGCTGTGACCTAAAGTGTTTCTCTACAGGTAACACCAGAAAGACAAATATCCAAAACGTCAGAAAACAACATCACTGTAATTTTTAGATCAATTCTTTCCTAGCACCTACTGTTGCCAAATAATACTGAAGAATGAGGGAAAAGTCTGCAATTCCACAAAAGAGCAAGCAATTATCATTTTTTACCTTATGTGACTGCAGAAAGCCAAAAATTAATTTGGAAGTACAGATTCAGGCCTTTAAAACTTTAATTATGTCTACTCAGGATTAATATAGCACAAGAATATTTAGTCATATGCTTAAGTCTTCAATGCAAAGATATGTATTAATATCAGAAGTTAAAAAAACAACTAATATAGTCAAATAATTTTGGAAAGTTGGGGTAAAATAGCATCCACTGAAATGAAAGCCTTATGGGACATAAGACAAATCATTAAAAGAGCATTTTTTAATATCCAGTATATATTTCCATCATATGGAGTCAGATTTACCAAAATAAGAATTTGAAAATTCAGATGATTGAGAACTCAAGCCAATTTGTTGTTCAAACAGGAGGGGAAAAAATAGGATATATTAAAAAAAAAAAAAAAAAGAAAAAAAAAAAGAAAAAAAGAAAAACTTAATTTTGAACCTAACAGAAGTTACTGTAGCTTAAAAAAAAGTTATTAAATTTTTTTTTGTGCATGAACTTTATAGAAAGTTAAGGTAATACTTGGTGATTTTAGGTCAGAAAATACAAATTCTCAGAAAATAAATGAGGTGAGCTTACTCTAGGATTCTGCTGTACTCAACAACAGCTTTATACAAGAGACCAAACTTCTGAAAAGCATTCCCAATGAAAAAGATTTAGTCTACAAATATTTGGGCACCAAGATGGCTTTAAAAAAAGCGTGAATTATATGGATAGCTAATCAACATTCACAGAAGACAGACATAGCAGAAAATTGTAAAGCATTTGGTTCTACTATGAGAATCAGTCAGCCAAGCTGACACAGGACAGTGCTGAGTTTCCCACTTGTGTCATTACCCACTTTACTGAGATTATTCATATCCCACAGCTTTACTGGTCAACATTATTCAAGTGAGCTTTTTAAATCTTTACTTGAGTATGTTTCTATAACTTTACCGTCAATGCAACAAAAAAAAAAAAAAATTAATTATACCTGCAGAACTTTAAACTACTTTTCTATGGATTTACAGCACAGAAGCTGCATAGATATTTTTTACTACTAGAGGAAGCATAGCTGAGTTAATCACAGTTTAAGTTACCAATCTCCTCTTTTACAATGCAGTAGGAACAAATAGGAAAGTGCTATAAGAAAGTATGCTCTTTGCAGCAAGTCACATCCAATTAAACACGTCAGTAACTACAGAAATTTGTTACCCAAGAGAAAATGCAACAACACGTTCATTCTTCATAGTCAACAAAGTATCCACACGAGGAGAAAACCTTCCCCCGCGGCAGCGCGGCCCGCAGCGGAGCGGACGGGGGCTGCCTCTCCCTTCTGCTTCCAGCGCTCACAGACGGACCCGCAGTGCCAGCCCGCAGCCCCGCTCTGCGCTCCGCAGCTTCGTTTCAGCCCCCGACGGGCGAACGCCAAACCCACCCTTCGTACGAAACAATGCTGAAAATAATTTTTAAAAATTGAAAAGGGTCGAGCAACCGGTCCCTTTTCCCCCAAAAGGACCCCTTCGAAAGCGGCAACCCGTCCCTCCTCCCCGCGGGCAGGGCACAGGAGGGCGACCGAAGGGAACGAGGGACAGGACCGCGCGTTCTCCCCGCTGGCCGGGCGGCTCCTGACGCCCACCCCGGGACCCGCCGATGCTGCTCCCGCGGCCGCCCGCGCACGGAGGAGCGCCCCTCACCTGCCCCGCGGAAAACTTTCCGGGCCGCCCGGACAGGACGGCAACAGCCCGAGGCTGACGGAGCCGCGGCTGTGACTAAAATAGGCAGAGGAGCCGCGGGAGCTGCGGGCGGCGCCAGCGGGGCCGGCACCGAGCGGCCGCAGCGCGCAGGCGCC